AGTAAAACTTTGGCTAATTACAGCATTCTCTGGACTATCAAGAAGTTGGAGCCCTGAATCCACGTCTTAGAAGTCACACTTCTGTTGAAGATGACACGTGGCTTACAGATGTCGTTCCCCACGACGAGATACCAAAGAAAAGACGAAGTCTGAAAAAGAAGTCTTCCACTCGGTTTTGAATTTCTAAATTTCTAAAAATTGTATTTATTCCCATTTGCCAGTATATTAAACACCTTCATCGGTTGTGATTTATTTCAAATTTTCCCAGAATTTTCAAATTTTACTCTTGTCTCCGTTTTTTTGTATAAATCCCCAATGTCTTTCATCACCTCTTCTCCCAAAATCTCTTTCAAATTGTTCAATTCATTCATCAAAAACAAAAAACTAATCTAACCACATATTCTGTCATTTTTTTTTCACTTTCAGCTCCTCAATTGAAATATATTCGAAAACCCAAAAAATGGATTGTGGAGCTAAATATAATTAATTTTCTATAAAACACACATCCTCAATGCTCAAAAGTTTGAAATTTTATGTATGTAGATGTATGTGAAATTGATTTGCTTTGTATTCATAAATTAATTTTATAACAATAAATAGAATATGCTTTTCCAAAATATTTAAGTAAAGACATTGAAAACGAGCTAAAAAATATAAAAATTAGAAAAATATTCCTAAAAAAATCACAATTAAAATCAAGAGTCTGCTGGTCCACCACCCATGGGGCTCACAATCAGTTTGGAGCACAAAATAGGGCTATTGCTTTCGCTAGGACAATCAAATGAGACTTTGAGTTCTTCTTCGACGGATTTCAAATCTTCTGATGGGATGATGATGTCTTGAAGAAGTGTTCTAATGAATGCAGGAACGTCATATCTGGAAGATTATAAATATTCAGAATTCTAAACTCCAATAGCAAATATACTTTTGAACTATAACACATGCATTCGGTCCAGCATCAAAAGTGTATGCAGCTTTCACTTCTTGCTGATTGAACTTCTCAACGAGTTCAATAAGTCTCCAAGAAGATTCATTCAGGTATCGGATGGGCGGTATAGAGTCCAGACAAACTGCATGAAACTGATTACTGTCAGCCATGATGACACGTGCCAGATCTTGGAAATTTCTCGATTCATACGCCTTCTTGACTTGCTCGATTCTCTCGGGAACCACATACTCAATACGGTGTTTGAGAAGTGTTGATGTTTCACGAGTTCTTCTCATCCCTTCACTAGATCCCACTTTCTTCCGTTCATCATTGAAAACCAGAATGATACAGTAGAGATCCGGCCAGTTTTCTGACTCCGTTTTCACGGCTACACAATCGGATCCATCTTCTTTTTCTCCTTTTTTCCAGTGCACAAGTCCTCCAAACATACTTCTACACGCACTACCAGATCCAATTCTAGCCAGTCGATTGGCTTGCGTGTCATTCAGATTCAGAATTTTCTGTATAGCTCGAGCGATGGCTGCGAATCCAGCTGCTGACGAAGCCAGACCAGCAGCCACTGGGAAGTTGGTTTTGGATATGACCTCGAAGTGATGGGTGATGCATTTATTTTCGTTTTTATTCAAGTCTTCTTTTCGCTTTCTTTGCAGCCGGAGTGCTTCATCAAATACCGTTTGGTATCGCTTATTTGAGCTCAACTCCACGCGACGACCATTTATTTCCACCTAAAAAAAAATTAAATTATGAAATATTGTCGGAATAAAAAAAGTGGGACTCGGTGTTTGCGTACTTTGATTCCCGCCTCCCCCCACCGACGCTCCGCCCATCGCTTTGCAAGTGCGGCGTGGTATTTTGGCGCGCCACTTGGAGATCATATTTTCTA